CTCTTCTAGCTCTAAAAATCCTCCTTAGCATGCATGTTGCTCAAGGTAGCATATGTGCAGTGTACTCCCGTAAGAGTACGTTATATGCACTTGGTTTATTTCCCTTACAGGGGTATCATTATGGGGCACCATATTATCATAAATAAAAAGGAGATATGTATGGGTACGGTTTGCAACCTTAAACAATTATAGTTAGGCACATCTCCAAAATTTGTCATATGATGTATAAATTTTTTTAGGATGGTAGGAGAATCTACTTTTATTTCTAATTATAAATAAAGTCCAGAAATGATTCAAATCAAGTCGATCTATAAACATATAAAAATCTAAAACATAGATGGTCTAGATAGCGTATTGCAATGTGATCAATTAAATGGTTTTTCAACATCAAATAGCTTTTTTTAAGTTTTTTTTAGATGCACCTTAATTCTGCCTTTTAAAGTCTTATATAAACTTTTCCCTCACCCATATTTATGTAATTTATTCTTTTTGGGTGGTTGAGCTGGGAATCAACATTATATCTCTTGAGCTTATATTATTCTTAAACCATAAATATAAAAGGTGAGGACCAATGAATAAAAATAAAAAAAATTGTTTCATGCGGGACCGCAGTTCTACATATGTGTGTAAAGCATCTATCTTAAAGAAAGATGCAACGTGTTTCATCCAAAAATAATAAAAATTAACGGTCCAAATGTTTTATTATTAGAATTATTATTTGTAATTGTTAAATTTATTTATTTATTCATATTTATGATTTTCATTTTAGAGATTACATGCCTTTAAAAATTACGTCTTAAAATCTATTTCAAAAATAGATTTATTAATAAGCCCGCATTTCTACAAAGCGTCGGGTCCTAAATATAATAATGGTAAACAAGTTCATGTTTATGTAAGCAATAGGCTCTCTCCTATTTTAAGCTGTTGAGGGCAACGCCCTCGACATTGGAAACTCCCACACCTTACCTCGTGGATTTCTCCAAGTCTCAGAATTTTAGATGTATATTGTACGATCCACTCCACCTTCCTCTCTCTCTCTCTCTCCATCTCTATTTTATTTTTTACATAATAAGTTCTCTCTCTCTCTCTCTCTCAAGGGCCGGGTCAGAGTAACCAGCCGATTCATCGGGTTAATTGGGCACGTCCTAGGCTGTTGAAAAAATGTTAAAAAATAAAAAATACAAAATAAAATCTAAAAAATTATAAAAAATATATTTAAAGCATAATTAACTAAAGCACATTCAAATAAAATTTAAAAATAGTGAGAATGGACTTTAAAAAAACGATTTGTACCCAAAGATATTTTCAATTTTTTTTTTTAAAAGATAGAAAAATATAAAAATAAATATTCATGGCCAAAACAATTTCCAATATGGGCTAATATGATAAAAAAAAGTTAAAACAACGTTACAAACAAATTCTTTATTTTTTTAGTAATATATATATATATATATATAGTAATGATCCTATGAGACCCTCCTCCCATACCCATGTATGTAGGACTCTAAATGATTAAATTTGGCACGGATCTGTAGAAATTTATCACATAGTTGTGGGATTTAACTTTTCTAAAGATATGTATCAAATTTAATGATGATCATTTGGTGTCCTACACATATGGGTGTGGGCAAGATCATTTTTCATATATATATATATATATATAATTGTTTTTATTTAAATGATAAAGATAAGACAAAAATTAATTTTTTAAAAATATAATCTATAAAATTAGTAAATTCACTATTCACAACCCTCTTTATTTTTAATCTTTATAATTTAAAAGGTTGTGAAGTTTAGATTATCTATATATATAATTATTTAAAAAAAACTCAATTGAACTACCAAAACGAGCTAAACTTTGCCCAATTATGGTTTGACGGGTTGATTTTGGGTTGAACCGGCGAAGTTTGCAAACAACGGTGAGATCCACTCAACCTCTCTGTCTCTCACACCCTTTCTCATTCCTAAATTGTTAATGATTCTTTACTCCATATATTGCATGGGTATGCTGCTTTCTTTTTGGGGTAAATAATACTTGGATAATGCTAACATCTATTATTATTTACACTTCCGAGGCGTACTACCTGCTCGTTGACCAAAACGATTTCCCCACATATCCAAAACATCCATCAAACCAATCTTCACTCAAGAATATCTCAGGTCCGTTTCTTTAATACTTACCTTTTTACATAGTTTTAAGAGCACTTATACGAGGCTCCCTCGGGAGCATACTATAATTTACTCCCTTCGGTAAAATACTAACTTTGGGAGATTTATTTTTTATTTATATAATATAAAAAAATAAATAAATTTTAAAAATTAGATATAATAATTTTAATAAGAAAGTAAATAACTTTTATTGTTTTTTTGATGGAACACGTACTTAACATCCATGATCTTTATACTTTTTAGACCGCACGTGTAGACCGCGCACGAGTCAATTTTCGTTGCAAAAATGAGCGAACCGTGTTTTTATTGTCACGCAAAAGCATCGTGTGACGTGGTCCAGAAAGAGGCATCCCATGTGCCAACATCCCACGAAACCATGCTTTACAACACTCCAAACTCCAAAAGTGGCAGCAGACCTACTCATTCCGTACCCCTCTCTCTCTCTCTCTCTCTCTATCCCACTAAATGTTTGACTCTCTTTCTCTCTCTAAAATGTTTGACGCACCCTAAGGCAGGGGCACCCAAAAAGGGTTTTTCCTTTTGATGAAATAAGAGAAAGATAGGAATGGCAAAAGAAGCTCTTCGCATTTAGACACTATAAATGCAAAAAAGAGTGTGTGTGTCTTCAATTTTAGGAAATAACCTCTTGACATTCATCAAACATTTGTAAAATTTCCATGAATTTAAAAAACAGCGGTAACATGAGTGGATAGGGCATCGAATCAGTTGGATAATTTGTTCGATTAAAGTTGGCTCGTTCATGTTGGTGGAACTTGATGGTCACCCTTTTAAAAGAATAAGATTATTATTAGCTTGAAATATAAGATATATTCCAAATATACTCAACTTTGTTTGATTGATTCAATCAGTTAAGACGAGTGAATCTAACATGATAAAACTGATCATTTTGGTTTTGCTTAGTTTTGAAAGCTAAAAACGGAGAATATAATTGGATCAAAAGAATATGGTTGGAGTAGTGAGAAAAGATACGTGGACTTACAACTTTATTAAGGGTATAGTCTTTGATAGGGTAGAATGATAGACGATGATTTGAAAACCAACTCCAAATAATTGAAAAAAAGCTTTGATGATGGTGATGCTTAGCAAACCCAAATTTTGTTCTAGAACAAATTGGTTGGGACACTCGTCGACGGTCAAACAAGCTAGATTGACTACTTTTGATAATATGAGCAATTCTTTTACGAATAAATAAACGTAGAGAGAGAGTTCTTCTCGTGAATGAGCAAGAGATGGACATGTCGAAGACTATTCTAAAATAATGAGAGATGGTATGGTTTTCAACTATAAAAAGAAAATGATATTTTTGGAAAAATTTGGGTGAAAAAAAGGCAACATTAAATGAATTTCTTTTATGTTTTTTGGCATGCAAGACTGCTTTCTCGATAAGATATTTTCCCATCTTCAATACTGTAAATGAATTGTATAAAAAGGGTCATTCGTCTTTGGGATACATGAAAACATAATGTCTCTTGTTGGCTTTCTTTTAGATTTGATGCACCCGAACCAAATGATGGATGTAGAGCACCAGAGTATTGTATTCTTACAAAAAAAAAGTGAAAAAAACGATTAGAGAGAGTGCGAGAGAAATGAGTGCCAAGGTTATGTTGAAAATAACATACACATAATAGGAAAAATAATGACCCATTATATGGAATTACCTGTTGTTGTGAATTAACTATTCAAGTGAAGAGTTTCATATTGTTACCGCTTTTAGTGTTTACGGCAGCTGTGAACAATTTCACGTGTTAAATGTCTCACACACACAACGCTCACTCCTCTTTGGTTCACATGTGCGAGAGCACAGGTCATGACCTTTTCATGTGCTTTCAACATGCACCATTATTCTCTTTTTTTACTTTAAAAACAAAATGTACGAAAATGCCTATATTTAAATATCATTTAATCTACATTCCTTTCTGTAAGGCTGCAAGGCAGGGTTAAAACCCATTCATTTCTCTCTCAACATAATTTAAAATGTAGAAAAATCACATAAAATATTATGGTATTTTGAAATACAGTAAGGTATTTTTCAAAATAAAAAATACCGGCCGACTTAATTTTCAAATATTTTTAAAAAGAGAGAGATAATAAAGTATTATCAAAATCTGAAGACACAATCGGGCATCCGAGGACGTGCCGAACATACTCAAAAAAGGAGGCCCACGTGACGCCAACGGACTTAGCCTTCCCACCCTTTCCCCAAGATAAGTCTACACAATAATAATTAAGTAAATTAATTTTTCATTGGAAAAGAGCCCTTATTTTATCGAATAAATTTCGAGATAGGATTTAATAAGACAATAATTCATATTGAGCAAAATGTAAAATCGAAGAGAAACGTCAAAAATCCATTACAAAATGTTTTTTAAAGTTGAAAAACTGATCATCTCCATATGTATAAATATATATAAAAATAAATAAAAAAAAGAAGAAGAAGATTTTGAGTATCAGAACGAATGCATCTAACAACATATTATTAAGACCATATATTTTCAAAATTTTCATAATTTTATGGATCTACTTGATTTTAACTATTTTTAGAGTTTAAAATTTTATAGTTAGATATAAAAATAATTTTTTAGATAATCTTAATAATTTTTTATACCAAAATAAAATTTGAAAGTGCCCCTTAATTGGATTGTCACCCCCGTAATAAAAAATAATAATAATAACATATTCGTGGAATCTCAACCTATATTTTACATGTCATAATAAATAAAAAACAACTGATAATATATGTCAAGACATGTTGTTAGGTCCCTATTCTCGAATCCCATAACCTTCTCTCTCTCTCTCTCCATCCCACAAGTGTCTCTTTCTCTCTCATACTCCAAAACGGATTTCTCTCTCTCTCTCTAATCAATCTGTGATGAGCCTATAATCTCGAATCCAGCAAAGATACGCCCCTCTCTCTCTCTCTCCACGTGCGAGGCCATAAATTTAGCAAGCAAGAAGAAAGGCGGAACCGGCGAACTCTCCCACATCTCTCTCTCTCTCTCTCTCTCTCTCTCTCTCTCCACTTGTTAATGGTCGACCATCTCGTCACGTAGAGAGAGATTCATTTGAACCACTTACTCTCTCTCTCTCTCTCCTCTGAAAGGAGCAGAAGAAAAGAAGGGGGAGGAGAGAGAAGCAAATGTCAGCTTTGTGAAGGGGCAGGACCTTGTTTTTTGGGGTTAGAGTTGGAGTTAGCGGTTTCTTTCATGTAATTGAGGGGGCTGTTTGATAAATTAGGGTTTTCTTTGATGTGGTTTTGGCCATGGGTGAACATGGCGGATCCTTCGTAGCAGTGAGAAGGATTTCTCAGGGGCTTGAACGCAGCAGTGCGTGCCACACTAGCTCAGGTTCCAATCTCTCTCTCCCCCTATTTTTGAAAATTTATCTTCCCTCTCGTCTTTTTTTTTTGTTTTATTGTTTTTGTTTTTGTTTTTGTTTTTGTTTTTGTTTTTTGTTTTTTGTTTTTGTTTTTTGTTTTATTTTATTATTATTATTATTATTATTATTATTATTATTTTGTGGTTTAGGTTTTGAGTGTTCTTTTCATTTCTCTTTCTTATAATTACAGGGTTTTTTTTTTTTTGAAGTTGCTTTTTGCTTCTATTTCTAGTAATTTCAGTTACGTAAATCTTGATTTTCAATTGGCCATTTTTGTAGCTCTGGTTTCTTTTGGCTGAGTCTTGATCCAATGTCTACCACTATGTTTTATTGATTTTTATGCTGATTCGCCTGTTATTTTGGTTTTATAGGATTTTATTTTTTCCCATAAATTTGATTATCATTTTTGTTTAGCTGGTATTGAAAATGATGGTTTGCTTGTTATTTTAAGCCCTTTAGTAATATAAATATTTCTCAGAATTCTAAGACGCGCTTTGGTTGTAGGTGGGTTATTGTATAGGGCTATTGTATATGTTGTTTTGTTTTCATTTAATTTTTTGAAATAAATTAAGTCAGTTGTTTGCCTTTTTTTTTTTTATTTGCTTACTCTTCTTTTTTTTTAACATAAATTTCTTATTCGCTGGGTGGGTAAGACCTCAACGAATGCGTTAATGTGTCCAAAAGAGTAGTGTAAGTAGTTGCACCAAAATCTACCCTGTATTCAAAAACCCAAATTAATCTAAAGAGAAGCTCAATGCAATAATAATAATAATAATAATAGCAACAACAACAATAACACTAATACTAATAATAACAATTATAATTGTAATTCAATGTTATTGTTGTTGTTTCTAGAGAAGGTTCGTATCTGTATAATGTGTGTAAATGGCAGGCGAACATGTGGATGAAACTGCAATCGGCTTGTTCTGCTGCTGCATCTTGCTTGTGATCTTTTTCTGTTATGCAGCAGCCTAGTTTTAATATATTTTTTTATTGCCATACATAAATCAAAGGCCAGGAAAACTAATTAAAGAGATTATTTTGACCAGGGACCTATTGTGCTCTTTAGTAGGGAAGAGACATTGTTGAAATTCCTTTTTTTTTTCTGATTATCTCTGAAACCATCATCATCATTAGAGACTTTGCCCAACTATTTGGGGTCGGCTACACGAATCCTAGTCCCATTCTGCTCTATCAATGGCCATACCGTCAGCCATAAGTCATTCCTTTTAACTTGATTCTTGTGATATGCATTTTGTTTGTGAAGATCTTTGTGTACAAGTGTTCCGTTTAAGTTAGGAGAATAACTGAAAACGGTGTTAGATTTGAAATAAAAGATGCGATGCAATCTTACCGATTAGAAGTCATGGTTGAAAAAAGTTATTCTGTACTATTTGGTTTATCTGTGGAAAGGTGCTGGAACATTGTTAACAAACAACTAAAAATAATAGTATTTTGAGGGAGGATCCTTTTGTTGAAAGTTGAAAGAAGATTTGTTTACTCCAGGTAATCTGTGGTGAAGTTCATAAACTGTTATTATTTTTATTTTTTGGGGGAAAATGTAAGTTCATAAGCTGATTTTGGTTACTTCTGATTAGTACCTCTAAGGAACTAGGACAATATGGAGATGTCATCGACAATGTTGCCACGTGCCCTTAATATTTTTAAACTCTGATGTGTTTTGATCAAAGCAACTTTCTACTGCTGCTCTACAAGGGTTCAGATTAATGCCTTGCTGAACATGGCATTAAATTCAGTAAAATATAACATGGGACCACTATATATTTGTAGAGAGCAAGAATCTCTTATAACTTTCTTGGACAGATGCAGTAGCGCGAGTAATGTGATGGTTCTTTTGTGTCATTTTTGTGCATCATGCACACTTCTCTATTTGCATATTCTTTTTATTATAGAGTAGAATTTGAGTTCTTTTCCTCACACATTTCTTGTTTCATTGTTTTTTCAAGGATTGTAATTTTCCCTTGTGTGTGTTCGCACGTAGTATGTCACGTAGGTTGTCTTTTAGAGTATCTTTTCTAAAATTCATATTTCAATAGCTTTCCATTCTGTATTGCTACAGCTGAGGTTGTGGCAGGATCTGCAGCATGGATTGGAAGAGGCCTCTCATGTGTTTGTGCCCAAAGGCAAGAAAGTGATGAACGCGGTTCTTTTGAGTTAACTCCTTTACAGGTATTCTTTTGATTGAGTTAAAATTTATTCCCTTTCTTCTAGTTTTATGGGTGTTATTTTGATATGTTTTAAGGAAATCTTAGCAAAAGGAATTACCATTTTTAAGTTGTTTTTGCTGTAATGCTTGGTAGCCTTGTATTTGTTTGCTCCTCAATGTCGGATTTGATCTACCCTTTGTCCTTGAGGGAAAATGGAGGCTAAATGGAATGTTCATGTATGAATTATTCACTTTAATTGGAATGAAATGCTGTAAGGCTTTCATGAACTTGCCCGCTAATATTCACCAAAAAACCACGTAACAAATACCTTGATGCAAATTATTTGCTTCGCATTGATAAATCATACTGATATCCATCCCTAGATTGGCACAACTTTTGAATATACAAATTCTCTTTAACACCTACACTCAGAGAGACAGGTTAATAAACGATTGCTGTAACTAACCTGGAGTCCTAACCTCTAAGAAAAGCAGATATGATACTGATGTAAGACACTTGAATATAAAAAGTTATTTGAATCATTACAGGATTTGGATGTGATATATGTAGAAGTAGTGTTATTACAAGGAGGTTGACCATGGGTCATGGGTATACACCTTTGTAAGGTGTTAGTACATGTATCCGCACATTTTGATTGCAAGTAGCAAACATGGCATTATATCTGATTTCTTGCATGGATTTGAATGTCATAAGTTGATTAAGGTCATTGAAAATCAATAGTTCCTGAAGAAGTATGTGCAATGCTGTCTTTAGTGTAAGTTCGAACTGTTTTAACTCTCAAAATGAGAAAAACGTACAAGGAACTATTTAGTTGTCTTTTGTTGGAGGCCTGCTTCGTATATATTTTTAGTAAAAGGAAGTTCTGTGAGGGTTGTGGGTGCATTGTAATCCATCTGAATAGGTATATTTTCTCGTAATCCCTCTTGACCATTTACCAGTGGGACACCAATGCAAATTGTATCAAGGAGAATACCTAACTCAACAATCACTGTCACAAATTTGTCTCGGGACGATTTATGTTGACCCCTAGAGAAGATTCCATAGCTATTCATCCTGGAAAATCCACTGAATAATGCATTGTTGGATGTGGAGATGAGACATTGTGCACTATGGTAAATTCTACAGGGACAATAGCTACAATGTCCTTGACCTAGAGATAACTGTAGAACAAGCTATAACTAGGTCTTCATGAATGTCTTTGCTTTGTTTTTTGTCATTGTACCTTTGGAGATATTACTAATTTATCTCTGCAATTGCATTAGTTTCCTGTTATCTTTTTGATATATTACTTCTAGCAGAGGTTGTTTTGCACTTGAAAATATATATAGTGACTTTTATACCTCTCACTACTTCTAACATGACTTTTCATTTACTGACGTTGGTTCAGGAGGAATGCTTGCAAAGGCTGCAATCCCGGATTGAAGTTACCTATGACAGTTCGAGACCTGAGCATCAGGTGCTGTATATGATGCATCCTTACCATGTCAAAAGTATAATGCTTTACGAGATATCCTCATAAAGTAATGAATCTTTATGCTCACCCATTAGAGATATGTTGCAGTTTCAAGTATTTGCATTTAAGAAAATCTGCAATTAAATTTATTATCCTTGCATCTTGATTGCTTTATTTTCCCTGATACGTATGTCCCTATGAACTTCGAACTTTCTATCAGAGGATTCTACTACTGAAATATATTGTTTCATATTTCGACTTATGAAAGTTAAAATTAGATGCATTGAGTGAGAACATCTAGCTGTATTACCCTGATATCTACCAGAAATAAATATAATGGTACAACATATTAAGAGGAATTTTTTTCTTTGGGAAACTTTCTGTGGCCCCAACAACATATAAGTTATATGTGACCCCACTACTTAGCCGTTCCATCTGAAATCATTATGATTGTTCATACCAAAATGTCATGCCAAATACTGTTTTATTTTTCATTTTTTTTCTACAAAACCTTTTTGGATGAAATTTTGGGCGTCCCATCATAAAATTAGGTCGAACCTAGAACAAAAATAAAAATATTTTGCCTTTAAAATAAATTACCAAACTGCCCCTGCAATTTTCAGGGGTATTCTGGTAATTTTTATCACCCGAAATACATATATATATATATATATATATATATATTATAAATCCTGTGTGCCGCCCTTGTCTGCATGCCTCAAATTTGATTTAAAATGATTTATAGATTAAAAATTAAAAATAAAAAAATCAAGATCTAATGGTTAAGAGCTAGCTTGTGACATTGTGACTCAAGCCATCTCAGCCATCTACTCAGATCTGACGGCTGAGATCAATGGTCACATATACTAAATATGTGGGTGGGTTTCCATAGAAACATTTCCCTTGTTTCTTGGGAGCTCGTCTATGGCCTTCATATGCCATTTTCCAAATCGGAAGTAAGATGATTTCAGCCTAAAATTTTTGTATTGTTATGTGCTTCCAAAACCAGTTTCTGCATGTTGGTCATTAGAAACTTATGGCCATTTGTTTTGGTTTCACTGAGGCTCTTAATGTTCTGAGAAAAATTTATTTTTGGAGAGAGAATGTTGAACTGTTGAATGAGGTTTTTGAAGTTATTTGCAGAACTATATTCTTTTTTCTCCTTTTCTAACCAAAACTTGGTTTACCAGAGAATGTGGTCTTAACACATTAATATTGTGGAGGATTCTTAGAAAAGTATTCTTGTGTTTCTGCTAATTTCTCAATGGGTTTTTAATAGATTTACTACCAGAAATTCAATGCGTATTTAAGCCACAATTACAAGAGGTTAGGGTTTTTAACATTTACAACTCATGTATGGCATGTGATTTTCTTTATTGAATGGTTTATCCACACATTTTCAATGTCTTTTCATATGATTAAAGGAGTTCAATTCATATAAATTTTTGATGTTTTATTATTGTTTATTTTCATCCATGTTTGATTGCAATTTCTGGTTTTTGGGAATAGAAAGAACCTGGTTGTTTGAAGTTTAACCTAAAGCCTAGGATTGGACCCAGGAGGAGGAGGAGCCTGGTGGTTTTCTAGTGTACTGGACAGTTGTAGAAGTATGAACTAAAACAACTGCGAATACAATCGCTGGAAGATGTATTGAGTACTTTCACGTCCCATATTCAAATCCCTCCGGTGACCTATTCAAAGAAAATCATAGAGTACTTTCTGAAGGAATTGCTCACAAGCATTTGTTTTGCTTCTTTAGTTCTTTTCTGTGATTACAGATGCATAAATATTGATGCATAAATATGTAAGTGTCAAAATCAACCATAAAATATTGGATATGGAAGTAAGGTGACAATGTTTATGAGTTAGGTTGTGGGTTTGAATATTTCTCTCGTACAGACCAATTGTACTTCATCCAAAAGAAAAGGAAAGGTTAATCAAAGGCTCTGCTGTTTGTGAACTAGAGACATAATAAATTCCATGGTTCCTCTTAACTCTACTGGTTGGTGGTGTACTACTGCCACAGTTTTACTGCGTGAGTTATCTTTTTTACTAGTTATCTCTTACCACAGGAATTTTATTGTAGGAAGCTCTAAGAGCCCTGTGGAATGCTGCATTTCCTGATGAAGAACTTCGTGGTTTGATATCTGAACAGTGGAAAGAAATGGGATGGCAAGGGAAAGACCCTTCCACAGATTTTAGGTATGTTGCTGTTGCTGTTATTTTATCTTTACCACTTTTTTGCACCTCTCTTCCTTTCTCTTTTATTCTAATGAAACTGTAGTTCTTCTAAATCATATATTTGCTTGGTCTCATTTTATAGGGGAGGTGGCTTCATATCATTGGAGAATTTGTTGTTCTTTGCAAAGACCTTTCCAGTATGTTATGTCCTATTCTAGGCCTTATTTTAATGTTTCGTTGCAATTATATCAAGTGCTTATCTTTATCTTGGTGTGCTTGTTTTTATTATAGATATTATAACTGCATTTTATTGGGCTATATATATATATATATATATAGGCACTTGAGTGGAATGAAACTTGAAAGTAACAATCGTAGTGTTATATGGGATGATTTGAACACCTTGATGTTTTTCTAAGGTGGTCTGACCATTTAATTAATATTACCCTATATATGTATATATAGAATGACTGTAGAGGAGATGAGGATGCTGAGATGGATGAGTGGCAAGATAAGAAGGAATAGAATTCAAAATGAATACATTTGAAAAATTTTGGGTGTGGCACCAATAAGCGATAAGATGAGAGAGATTAGACTAAGGTGGGTTGACCATGTGTGGTGCAGACCCAGTACAACCCCTGTTAGGAGGTGTGAGTTAGTTCAAGTGGAAGGCTCAAAACGGGTAAGGGTTAGGTCCAAAAGGATATGGTTAGAAGTAGTGAAAAAAGATATGGGGACTTATAGCCTTATTAAGGCTATGACTCTTAATAGAGCAGAATGACGGATCATGATTTGTGTAGCCAACTCCAATTAGTTGGGAAAAAGCTTTGACGATGATGATGATATATATATATATATATATATATATATATATATATATA